AGAGGTATTCGTCGGAAGCGTTCACCATCAGCATGTTGTTCTGATAACGGCTGAAGTGCTCCTGGGGGTCTGATCGGCCATCGTAGGACTTGATGGCGTTTCCCCTGTACTTCTCCGGGATGGGGGCCGAGAGGACCCTGTTGGTGAAAGGGGTCTTGGTCCTGACCTGGATGATGGGGTCACCTCGCCCCTCGGCCAGCTCCCTCTCCAGGGCGCTAACCTTGTTCATGAGCGCGTTGAGGCCGGGATCGTTGGAGGCGCCGGCCGTAGGGATGTTGGCCGATTGCTTGGCCTCCATCTGAGCCAACCTCCTTTCCAGCTAGGCGATGACCTCGTCTCGGGGGTCCCTGGCGGCCGCAGCGGCGCCCGGCTGGTTCCTCATGCGCTCGTTGTGAGCCGCATTGATGGCCGACAGGGCGGCCTGGACCTGTGGATCCACGGACGGAGAGGCCGCGGCCATAGGCTGGGCCGGGGCGTGATCCGTCTTCTCAGCTCGCTTCTTGTCCAAGCCGAGGCGGGCATCAGGGGCTCCGCCGTTGAGTTGGTTGCGGAGGTCCGTCGTGAGGTTGAAGGCCTCCTGGAAGAGGTCCCCTCCGCCGGCCTGGTCGGCCGTGGCGTCCTCATCGTGCTCCCTGGGCTCTTGGTCCTCAGGGATGGCCTTACTGACGAGGTTGCGGTTTGACTTGGTTCTTCCCATGATCAGTGGTTAGCTGTGCTTGGTAGCGACGAAGGGTGCTAACTTGATTGTTCTAGCTCTCAACGAGAGCACCAAATGATAGAGTATATCTAGAGAGAAGTGAGAGCTAGAGAGAGAAGTGCAATAATATGCTTCAATAGAATGATTTTGTAACCCCTATAACTACTCTCAAGGGGAGTATTTATAGAGAAAATACGGGCTGGGCTCCCAAGGCTTGGGCTTGGGAGGCCCATTTACAACTGGACCACTAATGGGCTGTACAAATAAGTAAGTGTAGAATCCGGTTCTGTGGAGTCTTCGTGGCCGACGAGGGCGTGGCCGACGAGGGCACGGCCGACGAGGGCGCGGTTGACAAGGGCACCCGGGTTCTTTGGCTTCAGGACCATAATCTGAGTTGGCACCTTTTCGGCCGACGGGGGCGTCTTGGCCGACGAGGGCGCCACTCTGTGTCTTGTGCTTTCTGTTCTTCCGAGTATGTGGGTCCGGGGGCTCAGACCCATATACTCCATCAGTAATGTTTAAATATAGCTTCCACATCCAATTATACAGCTCGACCACATAATACTTTTTGTTTCTTTCTAGCCCTAAATCATGTTGAGTATTTTGTATGTTGTTAGAAATATTTTACATGGGCGAGCCATATCCTAACTTTTGGAGGCGACACAAGGAAGAACAATATGGTGAGCTGAAATTTACTTTTAGTTTGTGTTCTCTTGAAATAATATATACTACGTACTTTATTGTCTGTTAATTCATATTTTAAGTTTTATGTTAAATTAACAGACACAACAGATTACTACATCCTTGACAATTCTTTCATGAGCATTTTTTATCAATTGAACGTCAACACATACGTCGACACACATAGTAAGAAAGCTGCTTTAAGAGCTTCTGCCTCTCTTGTTAGTCTTATTTCTTATTCAGGTGTGTATATTTAGTTTTATTTTGTTTTACTTTGTAGGTTTGATGTTATTGTTATTATTATTTATTATTCTTATTGTTATTATTATCATTATTATTAGCATATGTTTGCATACGTGCGTAAGCCGTACATACAATTTAAGGATAACATCAAGACATGTAATTGCATATCAAAAGGTCCAGCATCGAGTACTTGTCCAACTGACTACCATAATACTACCTAGGAAATTAATTGTCATTGAAAGCTTGAATACACATTCTTGACTTAGGTGTCAAACATATTCTTGGTAATTGCCTTAAGTAAACAAATTTTCCCTTTCAATTTTCAGGAGAAAAGCCGTTTGTTTGGGCATCTGGAATTGTAGTTGTATGTATCGATGTCAATGATACTTTCTTCGGTATTATATTGACTACTGCAAGTCTCAATAGACATTATACATGTGAAAACTCATTTCCTGACAATTTGAAGGTTGGTCTAATATTTGAGTGTTGATTCATATCTTGAATTCAAATTGTAATATTGTATTTTTCTAGTTTCTTTTAAAATAAAAATTAAAACTGTCATTTTACTGATTGAAGTGATTTTACCGAATCCTAGTTTTTGTCCTGGGCATATAATTGCATATGATTGACATTACAATATTTGTGTCATCAAGATTCAAATAAGTGTTCCAATGTCATTTGTCACCCTCAAATGTTTAGATGATACCATTGAAGCAGTTAATGCAACTCAACAATCTCATCTTGAGGGCGTTATCATTTCAACTTCGTTCACATTCTGGTCTATCTAAAGTTTTTCCATGTGTTGATTTTATAGCTTTGGGGCGTTATCATTCCGAACCATATAAGCTTATGGCTGCACCGGGTAAATTCAGGTAAGATATTATGCGGTTTTTATTATGTGTTTTCAGAGTCTAGCTAAGGAAAGAAATTATATAATGTGAACAATGGATGATTTTTTCAATATGTGCGAATTGTTCGTTTATTTTACCAATAATTGTTTTGCTTGACTTTGTTTATCGCAGTTCACTTCTTTTTTCTCACCTAGATGAACATTCGTTTTATTCTTTTGCTTCAGAGCTAACCTACCATTATCAACTTGAGCGTTTTTTTTAAATACAACCGTGTTATGGAAAATTGCATTGTTTTATAACAAGTTCTTTTTATAACTTTTTAGTTTATCTCCAAAATTTGTAAATTTGTAGCCTTTCAACAATCTAGTTTTTCTTTCCAGCAAAACAATTGATAATTGGCATTACAACCTAGTTTTGCAGCAAAACAACAACTTTAACATGGAAAAATGGCATGAAAATATCTAGAAGGAAAAACTAGGTTGTTGAAAGCCTACAAATTTCCAAATTTTGGAGATAAACTAAAAATCTATAAAAAGAACTTGTTATAAAACAAAGCAATTTTCCATAACACGGCCGTGTTTAAAAAAACGCTCAAGTTGATAATTGTAGGTTAACTCTGAAACAAAAGAATAAAACGAATGTTCATCTAGGTGAGAAAAAAGAAGTGAACTGCGATAAACAAAGTCAAGCAAAGCAATTATTTGTAAAATAAACGAACAATTCGCACATATTGAAAAAATCATCCATTTTTGACATGATATAATTTCTTTCCTTAGCTAGACTCTGAAAACACATAATAAAAACCGCATAATATCTTACCTGAATTTACCAGGTGCGGCCATAAGCTTATATGGTTCAGAATGATAACGCCCCAAAGCTATAAAATCATCACCTGGAAAAACTTTAGATAGACCAGAATATGAACGAAGTTGAAATGATAACGCCCTCAAGATGAGATTGTTGAGTTGCATTAACTGCTTCAATGCTATCATCTAAACATTTGAGGGTGGCAGTTGGCACTGGAGCACTTGTTTGAATCTTGATGGCAGAAATATTGTAATGTCAATCATATGCAATTATATGCCCAGGACAAAAACTACTATTCGGTAAAATCACTTCAACCTGTAAAATGACAGTTTTAATTTTTATTTTAAAAGAAACTAGAAAAATACAATATTACAATCTCAACTCAAGATGTGAATCAACACTCAAATTATTAGGAAATGAGTTTTCACATGTATCATGTCTATTGAGACTTGCAGTAGTCAATATAGTACTGAAGAAAGTACCATTGACATCGATACATACAACTACAATTCCAGATGCCCAAACAATCGGCATTTCTCCTGAAAATTGAAAGGGAAAATTTGTTTACTTAAAACAAGTACCAAGAATATGTTTAGCACCTAAGTCAAGAATGTATATTCAAGCTTTCAATGAAAATAACAATTTCCTAGGTAGTACTATGGTAGTTAGCTGGACAAGTACTGGATGCTGGACCCTTTGACATGCAATTACATGTCTTGATGTTATCCTTAAATTGTATGTATGGCTTACGCACATATGCTGATAATAATAACAATTAGAATAATATATAATAATAACAATGACATCAAACCTACAAAATAAATATACACACCTGAATAAGAAATAAGACTAACAAGAGAGGCAGAAGCTCTTAAAGCAGCTTCTTTAATATGTGTGTCGACGTATGTGTTGACGTCCAATTGATAAAAAAGTGCTCATGAAGGAATTGTCAAGGGGATGTAGGAATCTGTTGTGTCTGTTAATTGAACATAAAACTTAAAATATGAATTAACAGATAATAAAGTACGTAGTATAAATTAATTCAAGAGAACACAAATTAAAAGTAAGTTTTAGCTCACCATATTGTTCTTCCTTGTGTCATCTCCAAAAGTTAGGATATGGCTCGCCCATGTAAAATATTTCAAACAACATATAAAATACTCAGCATGATTTAAAACTAGAAATAAACAATAAGTATTATGTGGTCGAGCTATATAATTGGATGTGGAAGCTATATTTAAACATTACTTATACAGTTATACTTCTAATAGACTAAGAGGGGAGTCTACAAGATTATGGTGGATTGTTTTTGTATATAGAAATTCATCGAACTCCATTAAAGTCCGTGCAAATAAGTACCAACAGAAATTCACTGAATGTTTGTGGATACCTTTATTTTCATGGATTACACATAAATCCAAATCGGGGACACTTGAATTCTTACGGAATTCTAAACTCTATTGAAATCCTCTAGAATCCAAAATGGGGACACCCCTAATAGTGCAAATTAAATTATAGATACGATTACACTTCAAATAAAAAAAATCAATTTATATGGAAAGTAAAACATCACTACGTATAAAGTATTAAATTTGAATATATATTGTTGAGATATCATATAATCCTAATTCTCTCATATGTTCTTTAACCTTTACAATTAAGGTAGGATGGCAAAGCAATTAGATTTGGTTTAATTTTTTCTTGGTTTATCTCTTGTAAAGGGCTTGTCCGGTTTAGCCTCTTGTATTGGGCCTACTATTGAGTCCGGTATTTAGTCGGCTTATCTGCTCGAGTTGGAATTTGAGAGAGTTTTGTTGAAATCGGTGAACTGCTGCAGTTTGAGGACATTTTCTTGTGACGATAGGGAGAACAGAAGAAACATGTCTGTTTAAGTTGTCTACTGGTTCATCCGGGAGTCTACTTCTGCGTTCGAATTCCTTACTGGATTCGATTTCGGTTAACTCTGAACTTTCTCTTGTTTTATTCGTTAATTGTGTGATGTTACTGGTCATAGTTTAATTGCTTTACAACCATCTTGATTGTAAAACTTTTCTGAGCTTGTGGATCGGTTTGGGATCGGGTTTCCCCTATCGAAACTGTAAGGCTGATAGATCATCCAGCTCAGGTCTCCAGTCACACCAACCAGGAGGTTCTGAAACAACTCACAACCACCACAAAAAGGACTTACCGGACCGGGAACCACCACCAAGGTACCAGAACCCAAACCCCAAACACAGCTACCCTCTCAAACCTCACCCTAGAGCTTACAGAGCACACACACGAAGGAGGTGAAGAGAGGAGCGGAAGAAGGAGAAAGGCTACAAACACGATGGAGTTCGATGGATTTCTATATACAAAAACAATCCACCATAATCTTGTAGACTCCCCTCTTAGTCTATTAGAAGTATAACTATATAAGTAATGTTTAAATATAACTTACACATTCAATTATATAGCTCGACCACATAATACTTTTTGTTTCATAGAATCATGTTGTTCAGAACTATCATGTAAATCAGAATCATGAGAAGACTCCACCCCATTAGAAGGGGTGGGGTACCATGCAGGTTAGCATCAGAATCATTAACATTGTCAAACAATGGAATGGTAGCAGCAGGAGTAGACTCCCTATTGATCACTACCTTAAAACCCACCTGGTTTCTATCCCATAGCCTATAACCTATTACCCCCTCAGGATACCCTAGAAAGACACACTTCTTAGACCTAGGATCTAGCTTATCCAGCTACTGATGAACATAGGCAGTACAACCAAACACTCTAAGGTTGGACAAGTCTAGGGGCTTTCCAGAGTAAACTGACTCAGGGCACTTTCCTCCTAGAGGAACAGAGGGGGGCCTATTTACCAAATAGCCAGCAATGTCAACTGCTTCACCCCAGAATTGCTTAGACAGATCAGAGGTGGTAAGGAGACTTATTACTTTATTAAGCAAGGTTCTATTTATACGCTCAGCTACACCATTCTGCCGGGGAGTATAGGGCACAATTTTGTGCCTTTTTATTCCCCAGTCAACACACAGTTGATTCATCTCCTTATTACAGAACTCTTGGCCATTATCAGTTCTAAGGGCTTTAACCTTAAGATAAGGCTGGGTTTCAACTAGGGTTTTCCACTCCTTAAACTTCTCTACAACATCAGACTTATTCTATAAGAGACAAACCCAAACTTTCCTAGAGAAATCATCTATAATAGACATGAAATATCTCTTACCACCATGGGTAGAGATACTGGCAGGGCCCCAGACATCAGCATGAAGCAGATTTATGCATGATTTCTAGACTTTTATGCTTTTCTGCCATTAACCAGAATATCTAAAGTAACATCATCTCTATCATACTTGATGGCATATTTGACATCACTATATGAATCAGGAATAACATTGAGCAAAATAATTGGGGTGTAGTCATCAATATGCTTGTCACCAGCCTATTTGATGTTTTGGACTAGTTTGTTAAAATATCCAAATTTTCATCTATATCCTTAGTAAGGTCAAGCCTGAACTGGAAAATTTTTTCAAGTAAAAATATAGTTTGCCTGGTAAGGCCTCAGACATCAGCATGAAGCAGATTTATGCATGATTTCTAGACCTTTATGCTTTTCTGTCATTAACCAGAATATCTAAAGTAACATCATCTCTACCATATTTGATGGCATATTTGACATCACTATATGAATCAGGAATAACATTGAGCAAAATAATTGGGGTGTAGTCATCAATATGCTTGTCACCAGCCTATTTGATGTTTTGGACTAGTTTGTTAAAATATCCAAATTTTCATCTATATCCTTAGTAAGGTCAAGCCTGAATTGGAAATTTTTTTCAAGTAAAAATATAGTTTGCCATGTAAGGAGGTATCAGTATACAGACTATCAAGTTTTTCCCAAAAATCTTTCGCAGAGTCAAGTATACCAACTTTCCTTAACACAGAGTCAGAAAGATTTAAGTAAATTGTTGAACAGACAGTTTCATTCATTTCAAGTTGTTTAGCCTCATCTTCAGTTTCTAATAATTTGCCAGTGATAGCTCTGAAAACTTTTTGTTGAATTAAAACACATTTAATCTTTTGCTTCCAGATATCAAAATCGGTTTTCCCATTAAAGGGCAACATTCCATATTGATTAGCAGTCATGGCAAAAGACACAGAAACCTAGGAAATGCCACACAGACAAATCAATTAAAAACCCTATAGTAGGTCAGACAGCGGACTAGAGGACCACACAGTTCCGAGGCCACTCTGGTGGCTGACAGGGTATCGCTTAGCCCTAACACCACGCGCCTTCACTAATTAGGGAGAATCACTCAGGTTATCCGTGGACAGACAGACAACTGAGGAAAGAGAAACAACACTCAGAAAGAACAAACTCACTGAACACAGAAAGGTGCAAGAACAAAAAAACCAGCCCCAACCCACTACCCGAAACACACAAAGAGACAATCAAGAACACAAACCAATCACGGATCTGAACATGCAACTGGCAGATCAACACATGCAAAAGAGAGATTCAATCGCCATACCTGAGTTGATGGCGGTCGGGATAAAACAACTGATGGCCGCGCAGGGAAAAGGGGAGTAAAGTAAACAAAATCTGGAGGCACTCGGTGCACCCAGTGTTGTCAAAAGCGCTCGCTTCTGCGCTTAAGCGCACAAAGCGCAGCGAGGTAGACCCCTAGCGCCTAAGTAAGGTAGAAGCGCACAACCCTGGGCAAGGCGCACCATAAGCGCTAGAAGCGCACGAAGCGCGGAAGCGCTATAGGCGCGCGCCTGCGTCGCCTGAAACGGAAAAGGCTGACAGCCCTTTTTTAGTTTAAAACTTTGAAAAAAAAAGCCCATATCTTAATATTCCTCAGCCCATGAAAACAATAGGTTAAAGTAAGTTTAACCTACGTAAAACTAAGCTTAATAGTACGTAAAAACGTAAACTTGCGCACGACACTACAAAGCTTAACCGCTAGCCATCCTCTTCACTCTCCTCGCTTTCCTCACTCCGTCACTCTATACTCAAGCTGCTCTACACCAGCCGGTTCTTTCAGCTTCATCATCTCAAGCATACGCAGCTCTCCATCGTAGCAGTAAACAAGGTATATCTTCTTTTTCATGCAGTCTCATGCCTTTTCAATTACCTTCATTTACTGTCTTCTTTATCCATAGACTCATAGTACTCTTCTTTTTTATTTTTTAGTATATTACTATGTATATAATACTCATACTGTCATAGTACTTGCTTTGTAATGTACATATATAGTTATAATAGTACTCTACATTGTATATAATACTAATATACATACTAAAGTTATATGTTCTTATATGTTCTTAACTTTATATATCAAACTGATTCCATAAAGTTTATGTATCACTGTATCAGTTAACCAACTGATTATATATGTACTAAAGATATATATATCTTAACTTTATATGTACTAAAGATATATGTACATATTAAAGTTATATGTGCTAATGTACTAAAGAGTAAAGATGTATGTTCTTAACTTTATATATCAAACTGATTCCATATAGTAACTTTATGTATCAATTAACAAACTGATTCCATTATATATGTACTAACTACTAAAGATATATGTATTGATTCCAGCTTTGATCTTTTCTAGGATATGGAAGGTGGAACAAGTTCTGTGGGTGGTGCTGAAAGTGAAAACTCTACAAAAAATGACCCAGCTTGGAAACATAACTACTTAGATGAAACACAACTAATTAGTTAACACAACTACCTAGCTTTTTTGATGCATTTGGTTCAATATGATGTTACATACATCATATTTGGCATTTATAGAATAGTATATGTGACTTTATATAAGTAATGCGCTTCACCCGAGTCAGGCGAGCGCTTTTTTGCGCTTTGCGCCTCAAGCGCTGGAAGACTCCTAGCGCTTCGGGTGCGCCTTACGCCTTTGACAACCTTGGGTGCACCTAGGGTGTTTCAAGCCAATTTATCTGAGCGGATATCCAGGGGGATTATTCGACTTACCATGCACGAAGAGGAGGGAGCCGATGTCGTCAGAGGTGAGTAGCTGCTGGGTTTCCGGTGGAGCTTTTCGGCGAGAGACAGTGAGAACCAAGCTCTGATACCGCTGTAAGGCTGATAGATCTTCCAGCTCAGGTCTCCAGCCACACGAACCCGGAGGTTTTGAAACAACTCACAACCACCACAAAAAGGATTTACCGGACCGGGAACCACCACCAAGGTACCAGAACCCAAACCCCAAACCGAGCTACCCTCTGAAACCTCACCCTAGAGCTTACAGAGCACACACACACGAAGGAGGTGAAGAGAGGAGCGGAAGAAGGAGAAAGGCTAGAGAAAAGCAAGACCCTCTCTCTCTAAACAGAAGGCTCTAGAACTAGGGTTACACATATGCGGCTCACTCCACAGGCAAAGACAGATCAAAGGATTAAGTAGGCGGGTCAAGGAAAGTCCAATAAGGTAAGTAGGTCACGAAGGGTAAAGGTGCCGAACACAAGGGATGAATCAAGCAAGGAGGTAAATGGGCTGGGTGGTAACCAAATGGTAAAGGCCAAAGTCCCGGGTAAATTGGGCCAATACCTCTCACAGAAACCCCGCGGATTAGGAAGTTTTTCTTCCGAACTGCGTCAACATATCGTGTGTCTTTTACTTTTTGTATTGCTTTGATTGCATGTTTAAAGTTTTGAGATCCGATTTGTTTGACTGTGACTTCATATAGTCTGAGAACAAATTTGGTATGAGAGCCTTGTGTGCTTTCTTGAAATCTGAACTCTAAACTTTGGTTTGAATTTTTTGATTTCATGAAACCCCAGTTCTTGATTATTCTTATTTGTTCGTATATCCTTTTACTTTTGATAATCCAAGTTCTTCAAACCCTAGCTCAGATCTGTTCTGGCTTGTGTTTGTTGTTGGTTAAGAGTCTAATTAATACCTCTTTTCTTGACTCTTTCTGATATCTGCTCTGTGTGTGTGTTTCTGTTTGCTTGTGTCCACATTGGGAAAATGACTGACTCTGGTACCAAGATTCGCATCTTTGATGGTGCCAGTGATTTCCCTATGTGGCAGCTGAAAATGTAAGCTTTGATAATGAAGCAGAAATGCTTCAAAGTTGTTCTGAGTGATGAAATTACTGGTGTATCTCAGTCTGATTCACTTGAGTTGAAAAATGTTGCCCACTCTGAACTGATAATTCACTTATCTGATAATGTTGCAAGGAAATTCGCAAACATAAACATAACTGACCCTAGGCTTTTGTGGAATACTCTGGAGACAACTTACATGAAAAAATCTAAGTCCAGAAAAATATCTTTGTTATGTAGGTCGTTTACTTTCAAGATGAATGTTTTTGTCTCTTTCTCGTGATTTGGATAATTTTCTAAAAATTACACAAGAAATTGAGGAGGTAGATGAAAAAAGTAAAGATACTCATCAAGCTGTCATTCTCCTGAATTCTTTACCTTCTCAATTTGATAACTTTAAGAATGTCATTCAGTACTCTAATGAAGATCTCACCCCTGGTAAGATCATAGATGCTATACTTGAGAAGAATGAAACCCTTAAAGTGTTTAAGTCTAAGTCTGATCATTCTAATAATGAAAAGACTGAAACTAAAACTGAAGCTTTAATTGTGAAGGGCAAGATGAAGGGAACGAAAAATGGTTCTAAAAAGAAGAAACAAACTGAAAAATGGTTGTACATTGCATGCTACCCCTAATAAATCCAATTTTTCTTCCTTGAACTTGTATGATGGGGGAAAGCTGATGTTGGGGGACAATACTGCTCTTGATATTAAGGGAATAGGGAATATGCCATTAAGGATGTTTGATGGAGTTGTCAGGGTTATACAAAATGTTAGATGGGTCCCTTATTTGCGAAGATACTTGTTGTCTGAATCTATTTTTGATGAGTTAGGCTGTAGTATTGTTACTCAGGAAGGCATTAAGATGGTTTCCAAAAATGGAAAACAACTTATCAAAGTTGTTAAGCAAGGAGGCCTTTACATTGTTGAAGGATCATCTGAGCTGAATATAGCTGCCCCTGATACTAACAACACTATTCAAAAACAAACTGAGATATGGCACAAAAGGTTAGGTCACATTGGTAATGTGAGTCTTAACAAGTTGTTTAAAAATGGAATGATTGACTTTAAACCAAGCCAAATTGATTTTTGTGAAAACTGTATTTTTGGTAAGAAAACTAGACACTCATTTGGTAAATCTACATATACTGCTTCTCAAGCCCTTGAATTGGTCCATCATGACCTATGGGGGCCCTCTAAAATTGGAACTTCAGGAGGAAGAAAATATTTTCTCTCTTATTGGTCGTTTTTCTAGAAAAAGTGTGGGTTTACTTGCTAAAAACCAAAGATGAAACTTTTGACAGTTTTAAAATCTGGAAAAGCTGGTTGAGTCTCAATCCAAGTTTAAACTGAAATCTTTGAAAACTGATAATGGTCTTGAATTTTGTAACCATGTTTTCAATAATTTCTGTAAAACTGAAGGGGTTAAAAGGTTATTAACTGTCCCTGATACTCCCCAGCAGAATAGTACTGTTGAGAGAATGAAGAGAACTATTCTTGAAAAGGATAGATGCATGTTAATTGAATCTGGTCTTAAAAATTCTATGTGGGGTGAAGCTGTTGTTACATCTACTTACTTGATCAACAGATCACCATCTTCTGTGGTGGGTTTCAAAACCCCTCAGGAGATGTGGTCTGGTGTGAAGCCAAACATAACTTATTTAAGGCCCTTTGGGTGTACTGCATATTCTCATGTCTCTCAAGGTAAGTTAGAACCTAGGGCCATTAAATGTGTTATGATTGGCTATCCTGAAGGTGTGAAAGGTTACAAACTCCTTCTGATTCAACCTGGAGTTTATAAAGGCATAATTTCTAGAGATGTTACATTTAATGAATCTGAATTTCACTTTAAAAGTGTTAATGCATCTTCTAGTGACATGACAGATGATTCTGATGGTAACTTCTTTAATTCTCTGGGCACTGAGAATCTGTCTGAAGGTGACCTTGATGTTGGAGGACATCATGAAGGTAATGATGATCAATCTTTGTCAGAATGTGACCAAGATGATTCATCAGAAGGTACTGCACAGCTTAATACAGACTCAAATCAGGAAGGTAGTACCTTACCCTTACTTGATAATTTGAGTAATTTGCATGATGTGCCTGTTTTGTTTGATGTAAATGTAAATACTGGTGAAACTGATCTTAATGGAAATGCCTCTAATGAACAGGAAGAACCAAACTTAGCTAATTATCAACTTGTTAGAGACAAAGAACATAGAAATGTTATTCCTAATAGGAAATACATCTCTAATCTAGCTGAGTTTATCTTTATAGCTTCTGAAATTGTTAAAAACAATGTTCTTGAAACTTTTGAGCAAGCTATTAAGAGTTCTAAGTCAAATGAATGGGTTAAAGCAATGCAAGAAGAATTGCAATTTATGTTTGTTAATCAAACATGGATTCTGGTCCCTAAACTTATAGGTGCTAAGGTTATTGATTGTAGATGGATTTATAGGATAAAAGATAGTCTTGATCCCATTGATCTCCCTAAGTATAAAGTTAGGCTTGTTGCTAAGGGTTTTAAACAAAAGAAAGGGATTGATTACCAAGATATTTTTGCTCCTGTAATCAAATTCAAAACCTTGAGACTCTTGCTTGTTATGATTGTTGTTTTTGACTGGGAATTAGAACAAATGGATGGTAAGACTGCCTTCTTACATGGAGATATAAATGAAACTATTTACATGTCTCAACCTCCTGGATATGAGAGTAAAAAGAATCCTAATCATGTTTGTTAAGAAAATCTATCTATGGTTTAAAACAGTCTCCTAGACAATGGAACTTGAAATTTGATGCTTGCATGAGTGAACTTGGTTTTCTTAAAAGCAAATATGATACTTGTTTGTATTTCAAGCATGTTGGTATTGATAATGCCGTGTACATTCTGTTATATGTTGATGACATTCTCATAATTGGTTTGTGCAAAATGTTGGTTATTAGTGTGAAAGATGATCTAAAAACACATTTTGACATGAAAGACTTAGGACCTGCTAAAAGAATTTTGGGGATTGACATGAGCAGAAATAGACCTGAAAAGTGCATGTTCTTATCTCAAAGCATTCCTATCCCTTTAGGAGGGCATGGTTCTAAAAGCATTCCTATCCCTTTAGGAGGGCATTTGGATCTTCATGGGGATCCTTATCCTATTTCTTTGGAGGAATCTAAGAAAATGGATAAAGTCCCTTATCATGTTGCTTCTGGCTTTTTTATGTATGCTATGCTTTGTACCAAACCAGACCTTGCTTTTGCTGTGAGTGTTCTTAGCAGATTCATGTCTGACCCTAGGGAAAGACATTGGACTGCTTTGAAGTATACTCTTAGGTATCTTTCTGGAACTAAAAACCTAGGTCTTAAGTATAGTTCTAGCTCTTCCTTAGACCTTAAAGGATTTGTTGATTCTGATTATGCTGGTTGTAAAGATACCAGAAAGTTTACCATTTCCTGGTTCTTTACCTGGGCTGGAAACTGTATTTCTTGGAAATCCCAATTGCAATCTGTTGTGGCTTTGTCCTCTACTGAGGTTGAATATGTTGCTGCCATTGAGGCCATTAAAGAAGTCAAATGGCTTAAAGGTATTTTGGGTGAAGTTCTTGGAAACAGCCTTGTCCCTATTGTTTTTTCTGATAGTCAAAGTGCTATTTACCTTTGCAAAAATCCTATGTATCATGAGAAAACCAAACATATAGATGTAAGGTTCCATTACATAAGAGATGAAATTGCCAAGGGTAATATTAATGTGGAAAAAATTTCAGGAGATGTAAATCCTGCTGATTTTGGAACTAAAATTGTCCCTACTGATAAATTTCTTTTTTGCAGGAGCTTCTTCAAAATCTTTGAGGTACCTTGATAAAAGGTTCCAAACTCGGTTGATGGTGAATGAGGAAATTCACGTCTCACAGATCCTGCAAACTAGCTATGATGATACTCCATTTGGAGATACCTGAATGAGAATGAGTCTTAGGAGGGCAAATTGTTGGGATATCATATAATCCTAATTCTCTCATATGTTCTTTCACTTTTACAATTAAGGTAGGATGGCAAAGCAATTAGATTTGGCTTAAATTTTTCTTGGTTTATCTCTTGTAAGGGTCTTTTGGGTTATTGTATTGGGTCTGTCCGGTTTAGGCTCTTGTATTGGGCCTACTATTGAGTCCGGTATTTAGTTGGCCTATCTGCTCGAGTTGGAAGGATATAAATATATCCTTTAACCTCCCTTTCTGCACTGTTCCACTGCATACTTCTAAAACCCTAGAGAGAGAAATTTGAGAGAGTTTTTTTAGATCGGTAAACTGTTGTAGTTTGAGGCCATCTTGTGACGATAGGGAGAAAGGAGGAAGCTTGTCTGTTGAAGTTGCCTATTGGTTCATCCGGGATTCTACTTCGGCTTTCGAATTCCTTACTGGATTCGATTTTGGTCAACTCTGAACTTTCTCTTGTGTTTTATTCGTTATGAGTTGTTTGTCTGTTAATTGTGTGATGTTACTGGTCATAGTTTAATTGCTTTGCAACCATCTTGATGGTAAAACTTTTCTGAGCTAGTGGATCTGTTTGGCACCGGGTTTCCCCTATCGAAACCCCGCAGATTAGAAAGTTTTTCTTCCGAACTGCGTCAACATATCGTGTCTTTTACTTTCTGTATTGCTTTGATTGCATGTTTAAGGTTTTGAGATCCAATTTGTTTGACTGTGACTTCGTATAGTCTAAGAACACACACACACACACACACATATACGGTTCCAGTGAGAACGATGCTTAACGTGAGAACACTAACATTTAAATCAACGTGGTGCACAATTGAGCTATTCTATTGCACATTTTCAATTTGCACGATTAAACCTATATTAAATAAACACGATGGCATTTTGGTAAATATTGTGAAAATGTGAAAATGTGCAATATACAAGCTTCTTTGTGCAACATGTTGGGGTAAATGTTATGTTTTCACGTTCTCATGTTAAGGCGTTAATCATTGTTCTCATTTGATCTCTATTCTATATATATATAATTAAAAAATTCCAAAAAAACAGGGCAAGAAATAATTTTGAACCTTAATAAACATTAAACTAAAAACATGATATCTAGTCTAGCGAGAATAGTAGAATCCGCTGACACTCAAAGTAATATACTTTGTATATAATGTCGTCTCTCTACTCAAAGATGCCGACGTGGATAGGCGGGTGCAAATACGAACAACGCAGAGAGACGCGAAGGTAGGCGGACGGGGGCGGAACTTACCTTGAAGAGGACCGGCAAAGACAAGAGGATTGACGCATGTGAATCAGATGTGAGTATTTTCACTATTTTCATGAATTAATGACTTACTTAGGTACGGAGTACGTTGTTTTACTTTGTTGGTGTGGTATGTTTAAGTTTGATCTGGTGAGATCTGTTTATGTTTGGTTTTATCTGATCTGGTTTGGTCTAGTAAACGTCTTGCCTCTATGGATGTTTTTACTTAGACTGTAATTTACTGGTCTGGTCTGCTCTGTTTTAGTCTGGTTTGTTTTAGTCTTGTCTGGATTGGTCTGATCTGAAATTTATTTTTTATATTTTTTGCATAAAGATTTTATTTTTTATATATATTATAATCCATATTTAATTATATTTTATTCATTTATAATTAAAAATAGTATGTAGGTAAAAACTATGTAGGTAAAAGTAATATTTTTACAAAAACTCTGTCGGTAAAAGTAATATTTTGTAATATAAAAGTACGAGTAGTATTATAAAGGGAAAACTACAGTAAACGTACTTGTGGTTTGGGGTGTTTTCAATTAGGGGTATGAGTTTCATTTCTTGACAAACACGGATGCGTGATTTCACTCCGTTATTTCACCCAGGGTACCGGCCCTTAGGACGTTAGTTTGGGCGTGGCATCATTTATTTGGCCACGTCTGCTCCAACACATCATTTAATTGGAATTGAATTAAATAGCATGCTTTATTCTTACAATTTAGGTTTAAGAACGACGAAAGCTTCTCAACGTATGTCAGCGCTGGTGACCGCCGATCTATTGTGCTGCTGAAGTGACATAAGAAGACGGTGACTGCTAAACACCTGGTCTTTCTGTGAAACATAAGTAAAGCATTTGAGGTTTTTTTTTGTACTGAAGTTTTAAGTTTTGGTCTGGATTGTGTGTTAATTAAATTCATAGGTTGCAGTGTGTAATGTGGTTATTTTCATATGTGAAAATGTATGTATAGGTTGTAATGACAGAGTATGTGAACTTGTTTATTCACCATGGTGGTAAATGGGACTGTGTGAAAAAGAAAAGGGAATATTTGGGGGGTGAGCTGACCAAAAAGGAAAAGGTAGACATTGACATTTGACTACATCTGTAAGTTCGAATTGGATGGGTATGCAGAGGACTTGGGCTATAAAGATGGTGTACAAATATGGTTCAGAAGGCTTTCAATTAAAGATGTATGTGGCCTAGCTACTTTATAGGAAATTCAATGTGACATGACATGCTTCTTTCCAACATTACGGACCCATACATTGAATTGTATTTTGTCTTAAAGAAGAGTCCAAAAGGGAAAGGGAAAGATAAAGTACCACCAGGCCCCTCAAACCCTTCCCAAAGTGCAGATGCAACCCCAACTTGTGATACATCAGCCCCATGTACTGATTTAGCCATACCCTGTGATGCAAGCCCTACTTTACAACTACTCAACCGTGTGGAGTCAACCCACACTTCATTACAATCCCAGCCTGAACAAGAGGGTGTTCCTACATTTCTACAAGCAGAATACCAGTGAAGATGAAGTGTTTCAAGATGTGATCAGTGAAGATGAAGCACCCGAGTTTAATGAAGGTCATGATAAGGAGTGTTTATACTAATGCTCTTTTAATTGTGTTGTTTGAAGTCTGTAATCTAGTAATTGCTTACTATGTATTGTTTGTACATGTACACTTATTTCAGGGGTTAGTTGAGGCTTTTAAGGCTGTCAATCTATTGAATGAGCATAGATATTGCTTGTAACACATGTATGAGAACTATAAGAAGGTTTTCAGGGGTGGGGAGTACAAGAAAAAGTTGTGGTTAGCAGCAAGTACTGGAAGTTTAAGGTCCTGGCAGAGACATATTGAAGCCATAAAGAATTTTGATGAGGCTGCCCACACTTGGTTGCTGCAAAATGACCCTCGGACTTGGAGTAGGGCTCATTTCTCACCACATACCCGGTCTGATGCCCTACAAAACAACATATGTGAGTCTTTCAATTCTTACATTCTTAGAGCTAGAGATTTGCCTATCCTAAGTATGTTTGAATGGATTAGAAAACGGTTAAGGTTTCATGTCAAGTACACTGGGATGCTGAAATACAAGGGGGCAATTTGTCCTAACAAACAGGACTTTCTAGAAAAATACAAGTATGACAGTAGGAATTGTTTTTGCACACCAGCTGGTGACAAGCTTTATGAGGTAGAATATTTTGATAGAAGTTATGTGGTAAACTTGAATGAAAGAAGTTGCACTTGTGGAATGTGGGATTTAAATGGAACCCCATGCAAACATGGAGTGTCTGCTATTTATGCAAATAGAGAAAAACCCGAGGAGTATGTCAGTCATTATTCAAAAGATACCTACCTAGCTGTGTACAACCATATGATCCACCCTGTACCTAGTAAAGAGGGGTGGGAAACCACTGCCTACCTTGACATCAAGGCACCAATTCCAAGAAAGCCAGCTGGTAGACCAAAGAAAAAGAGAATTAGAGCTCTTGAAGAAACAAGGAATCCATATAAGGTTTCTAGGTCTGGGAAGCAGGTAGTTTGTGGTAATTGTAAGCAGGTGGGTCATAATGTAAGAGGATGTAAGACATCCCTTACTGGAGAAACCCCATGGCAGAGAAGAATGAGGCTGAGAAACACAAGTATTCCGCAGGAGGCCAAGTTCCTAATGCTCATGAAGCTGCAAATGAAGATTCTCATGTCAACACTCAGGTTGTGGAGACCATCAGTGAATCAGTCCCTAATGCTTCCACTCCAAATGCAACAAGTTCAAGAAAAAGAAGAAATACTTGTAGTTCTCAACCACAACAACCTTCAGCAAGAAGAATTACCAGATCATCACAAGAAATACTTGTGATGATGTATTTGTGAATGTAGCAGACATTTTGTAATGTAATTTGGATTAATTTTTGTAGTTATTTTGCTGAATATGATGTGTAATATGTTTTGGATGGAATTTTGCACTGAATGTGTAGTCTGTGTAATGGCATACTTTGCTTTGCTTTTGATTAAAAGGAAGGAACTGTGTACTTGTTGTTTTGGATGGAATAAAATGAATATGGGTAACTTAACTCAAATTGTATCATTATGTTTCCATTTAAAGTTTAACAGACATATGGTTACAATAGGATGTTCATATGGTGGGATTGCTAATCTAATGTGTATCATTATGAGTCATTATGTATCATTATGAATCATTATGTATCATTACACTTCCATTATGTTTCAGTATGGGATTGCTAATGTGATGCGTCCATTTAATATGTATAAGGGAGTCAAACATGATAATAAACATGACATAATGGCTTCCATCAGATTACCTTCTCATAATGGCTTCCATATTATTCAGACATAAGGATATGCTTCCATATAATTTACATCTAATTTGCTTGTAATCTAATATGCTTCCATAATGGCTTAAACTCAGTTTGCAGACATCCCTCAGTAGGATATTTTATACACATATGCTTCCCATGAACATGATCATTAACAACAAAAGCTTCAAAAAGATCATAAGTTTGAAAACCAAATTCATAATCTTCATTACAACAATACAACCAAATTCAACAACCAAATCAGTACCCACATACAACCACACAACACCTAAACATCTGCTAAAGAAAATGACAATTAACTCAAAAAGCACTCTTAGTGAGACATTTTATCAAACACATGACAACCTTACACACCTAATATATCCTACTTCCCAGCAAGATGATAACAAACAACCCGAACCACACCACATTCCAGGAGAGTCCCATTGCCTTTATTTGATATCTTAAGTTCCTCTTCCATATTTTGGAGTTTCAAAAGACCAATCCCACGAACACAACTTTTGATTTCAGCTTACATCTCTAATTTTTTCATTCGGAAATTCTCTTCAACACTGGTAATTTTTTCAACACTGGTAATTCCATCCAAAACAACAAGTACACAGTTCCTTCCTTTTAATCAAAAGCAAAGCAAAGTATGCCATTACACAGACTACACATTCAGTGCAAAATTCCATCCAAAACATATTACACATCATATTCAGCAAAATAACTACAAATATTAATCCAAATTACATTACAAAATGTCTGCTACATTCACAAATACATCATCACAAGTATTTCTTGTGATGATCTGGTAATTCTTCTTGCTGAAGGTTGTTGTGGTTGAGAACTACAAGTATTTCTTCTTTTTCTTGAACTCGTTGCATTTGGAGTGGAAGCATTGGGGACTGATTCACTGATGGTCTCCACAACCTGAGTGTTAACATGAGAATCTTCATTTGCAGCTTCATGAGCATCAGGAACTTGGCCTCATGCGGAAGACTTGTGTTTCTCAGCTTCATGAGCATCAGGATCTTACTATACCAGAGTGTATGGTAAATCGAGACTTCGTGAGAAGGATTCAAACAACAGAAGTTAAAGAGGCTATGAGAAAAATGGGGAGGAAGAAAGAAGTGGGCCGAGATGGCATACCGATTGAGGCTTGGAGAAGTTTGGGAGAGAAAGACATCGAGTGGCTAACACGTTTCTTCAACATGATTCGGAGAAACAACAAAATGCCAGTGAGTTGACAGAAGAGTACTCTCATTCCTTTATTTAAAAATAAGGGTGATGTACAAGAATGTGCTAACTATCGATGGATTAAGCTTATGAGTCACACTATGAAACTTTGAGAACGAGTGGTTGAGCAAAGACTTCGTAAGAGTGTGAAAATTTCGGAAAATCAATTTGGTTTTATGTCTGGACACTCAACAACTGAGGTCATTCACCTTCTTAGACAAGTTACGGAGAAGTATAGAGATACTAAAAAGGATCTGCATTTGGTGTTCATTGACTTAGAAAAGGCATATGATAGGGTATCTCGACAAGTCCCGTAGTGGGCCTTAACTAGAAAAGACATATCACTTAAGTATATCAGTATCATCATGGATATGTATGATGCTTATACTACAAGTGTCCGCACTAGTGTAGGGAGGACCGAAGAGTTCCCTATTACTATCGGAGTGCACCAAGGATCTGCTTTGAGTCCTTTCTTATTTGTTATAGTCATGGATGAACTTATGAAGTCAATTCAAGAAGACATATCGTGGTGCATGATGTTTGCCGACGATATTGTATTGATTGATGAGACACAATCCGGTGTTAAAGCAAAGTTGGAAGTATGGCGACAGACATTGGAGAGCAAGGGTTTCAGACTGAGCCGAAGCAAGACTCAGTATATGGAGTGCAAGTTTAGTGGAGGTAGAAGTAGTAGCAACAGTGGGATTACTCTTGATGGTAAGGAGATACTGGTGTGTGATGTGTTTCGTTACTTGGGTTCCATAATTCAGAAGGATGGTGAATTAGATGGAGATGTATGCCATAGAATCAAAGCTGGGAGGATGAAATGGAAGAGTGCTTCAGGAGGAGGAGGAGGAGGAGGTGGTGGAGGAGGTGGTGGTGGTGGTGGTGGTGGAGGAGGAGGTGGTGGTGGTGGTGAAGGTGAATTTTAAGCAATTTAAAACTTAAAATCTTGTTTCAGAGTTTTAACCATGTTTTAATGTCATTTAATATAATTTCTTTTTGAAATAATAATCGAAAACGACGACCCGTTTTGAAACGCGTACTCACTTGATGCTCATTGATGCTCCTCTCCTTATCTTACTCTCCTCCCTTTACCTGACTTTAAAAACGACGACCCCTTAATCCTGGCCCCTGATATCTGCTCTTCTTCAATCTGCGCTCACTATCCCAGCGCCGTTGGATGTCAGATTCGTTCTCATAACCGCGGCTCAAACCTTGATTGTGTTACGTACAAGTCTAACTCAGACAAGGTAAAATTCATATTTTTTTTGTATATAACCTCTCCACCCTTTTTATCCGTTTCTAATGTAAGGGTTATACTTAGAATCGAAGTGGATTTTTGACTTATGGTAGGATTTTACTCCCCATGTGTTTACTGAACAAATATAGCATTTTTATATTTTTTAGATTCTTTCAAATAGTTCAATTAAGTCATATAAGGTGTTTGTGTGTATCGTTTGGACTTCTTTAGATTAATTGGTTTAAAGTGTTTTGTGCTTTTGTGTTGTTTGATAAGACTTTTAAATTTCACTATAAGGCGAAGCCTTGCTATTATTTGTAGGGACGTTTATGTTGTGTTAGTTCCATGGTGATATCATAGCTTAGCATATGGATCGAGAAGTAGCTATCTGTTATCTCACAGAATGGGGCCTTTTGTTTTACATTATAATTCATACTTTTGTGGAATTTTTTCTCTATTACAAGGTGTATTTATTCCTGGTAGAGCTCTTTAGACAGGTACACTATAGGAAATTTCTTTTGCTTTTATAGAGTCCTTGATAGTTACGTATTTGATACCCATCTAGAGGTTCGTGTTTGAATAAGAGCTGAATTCTCTTAGGACATCCACCTTTATGTTCTTTCTGTTTCATAAACCTACCTCTGCAAGGAATTGGTATTTCTTTTTCTGAGACATGAGGTGTGTATTGAAGCTGATACTTTCTAGATGTAGCTGTACGGGTGGATCCTCTGGATGTTGGTGGTTGAATTTTCATGGACAGGCCATTTCCATTTGTCCTTGGAAGGAAGTGGCGTGCTGGCGTTTCTGATTGTTTTTAGATTTAGTGTTTGTGCGTTTATACATATTGATATTTCTAATTCCTTCAATCTTGTTTGGGTAGATATTTCTGGGCTATGAAGTTGATTCCTTCTTTCTTAAACTTAAATGATTGTGTTATTTATGTGGTGGTGTCATTGAAAGCTTATATTGTTGCCTGCCAAAACTGCAGTTCTTTTGTATTGATAGAAAATATTTAATTGATTGCATACTATCTCTTTCACTTTCAGATACCATGATTAAGTTGTTTAAGGTGAAGGAAAAACAGAGAGAGCTTGCTGAAAATGCAAATGGGAAGCCACCGGTGAAGAAGCAAAGTGCAGGAGAACTGCGACTTCACAAAGGTAATTCATTTCAAAGTTTCCCCTTGTCCACTATTTTTATTCTTAGCCTCTCTTGTGAGATGTGATTAAGTGTATATCTTGATACTTGTAATCACCCCTTTATCGAACCTACAGTCTGCAATTTTTTTTATCAAACCATATCTCGGTAATGGTCCTGTTTTTAGTCATATACGTCCCTTTTCTTTCTTAGTCTCATGCTCTGTTGTAGGACCTTAATTTATCTCTGTTATTTACACTAATTCTGTAAAGGCCCATTGAAGACTTGAACACATCATTTACTTAGTGAGAAAGTAAACAAGTACTACCTCAATATCACTAGCATTGGGACACGAGGATATGGTCAGCTTATTTAGAAAAAAGTAAAAAAACTAAGAATGATTTAGAACCATATGAACTTTATCAAATTCTGTATGAGACAATCTTAGTTGGATGGATCGAAAAGGAAAGATGGAACAATCTCAGCCGGATGGAGGGAGTATGTCATAAGGATTTGATTTTGTTTTCTTCTGCAATAATTAAACAATTGTCTGAATACTTAAATTCCTTGAATGTAAATGGCATGGCACTTGTAGATGTTCGTGAATGTAGATAAAAAGGGGGTTAGTATGGATCTGTAAAATCTGTAGTGATACATGCATTTCATAAATTTTTGACAAATGTCTCTGGTACTCTGCTTTTTCAATATTACCAGGTATAAGCGTTTTAACATTTTTAACTTTATACAGATATAAGTGAGTTAAATCTACCAGAGACATGTAGTATAGCATTCCCTAATGGAAAAGATGATCTAATGAATTTTGAGGTTACCATTAGGCCTGATGAGGGGTACTACTTGTAAGTATTTCATTCCATTTTCTCATATCTATTAGGTAAAGAATTGGGAAGCAGAATCTCCCATTGTATTTTATTTTATTATTAATAAGATTCAATGTTTTCAGAGGTGGAAAGTTCATATTCTCCTTCCAAATATCATCCGTATACCCTCATGAAGCCCCAAAGGTCAAATGCAAGACAAAGGTGTGCTCTAGTTATGAATTATGAATTTATTATAATACTTTATATCATATGCTTCCTGTTAATCATTACACTTAATGCTACCTCAGGTTTACCACCCAAACATTGACTTGGAGGGAAATGTGTGTCTTAACATCCTCCGAGAAGACTGGAAACCGGTGTTGAACATTAACACTATAATTTACGGGCTGTATCATCTCCTCACGGTAAGGTCATCATGTTAGTTGTGACTCTTTCTAACCCTTTTCAAAGAAAATATTTCATTATTGGTGAAATGATCATTATTAGGTCATTTTCACTCTTGGTCTTTTTGTTTTACATTTTCAGTCCATATGTATTATATATTTTGCTACTTCCAATCCTTCTAATCACTTACGATAGTATTTGACAAAAAAAAACAAGAATAAGTCGGCCTGATAAGTGATCAAACTAGTGATCAAACAAGTTTTTTGTTGCCAACTAAATAGTTTGTCGATTAGAGATTTAAAGCTAGTGTTTATACCCCCACTAGTGTCTCCCATTTAGTTAGCAACAATTAACATTCCCAAATACTTCCATACCCCCATTATGAGTTTATGACTCGATGACTTCCATTCCCATTTCTCCACCAAGCACTCCCCTAAAAGAAGCAATTTAATAGTTATGTACTTGTAATGGAAAAAATGCAAGTCATGGGACCAAAACTAGATATTCATCATTTGCAACTGATCAAAAGTTTGTTGTGGACCTGCGGTGATGATTGAATATGATTCAGGAACCAAACCATGATGATCCTCTCAATCCAGATGCAGCCGCGGTGCTGAGGGACAACCCAAAGTTGTTTGAATCCAATGTGAGAAGGGCGATGTCGGGAGGCTACGTTGGACAGACATTCTTTCCCCGTAGCCTCTAGGGCTCAGAGAAAAAAGATATTTGCCATGTGACAGTTTCTCTGAAATATAGATTCAATGCACCTCTCTCTCACCCTCCCTTCAGTTTCATGCATAAATGAGACCCTGCAGATTGTGTGCGCATATGGCTTTCTTTGGGTGAATTGTTATTATTTGTAAGAATGTCAACCGTTCACTTGTAATCATTCCTGCACTGCGTCAGGTGCTATTAATTTAAACTATGTGTTCTGTTGTTGTTAGATATTTTAAGGGAAATGATCAAATAAGTTGTTCTATTCCCTCAAAACCGTCCCTTAAGTGTGTACTTGGATGAGTGGATCTACTCATAAAAAATGATCAGCTAAACCATGACCTGAATGTGACTTGTTGTAGCTGTTTTTTTTTTTTGCTTGTGTGGCATTTATTTTTATTATCTTTCGAATTTTTTTTCCATTCCTTAATTCCTTTTCTGACCTCGTATCTTTTATTTTCTTCTTAGTCCGCTGCTTCAGTGTTTCTTCCATCTCCCTCCATTGACAATTTTTTCCTTGTTTCTTTATACTAGCTTTAAATCTCTAGTCGACGAACTATTTAGTTGGCAACAATGAACTCTCCCAAAAAGATCAAAAATGATGTTTGTACACACTCTTATACACACTTTTGTACACACCTATGTCTGTGAAAGTTTTTTTTTTGTCTGTGAACATTGATTCACAGACAATGTTTTGCACAAACAAAATATTGTCTGTGAACCGGATTCACAGACAAAAAAAAAGCTTCACAAACATATAGTCGACCTTTATGCTAACAATAAAGGTCGTATATTTGTATACCAAAATTTTGGCACACCAAAAATTAGTTGGTGATTTTTCAGTAGTTGGCCTTCTTTGTCATTCTAATACTCCCTCAGTTCCATGTCCAAAAAGGTTGAATCCCCAACCCCAAGGGCCCCCCACCCCGATCCGACAGGATGGTGGGGGTACTCCCTCAGTTCCACAATTTAGTTTTCAGTTGCACATTTTGGGTCAAACATTAAAAACTTTGATAGTTAATTATTCATAATTTGGATTATTTATACTTCACTGGAGTATATTATTCAAACATTAATTTATACTTGGTATTAGATTTTATAAGTATAGATTTTTAAATATTTAGAGCCAAACGTAGGGTTGGATTCGGTTCGAACCATCCGGCCCGTGACCCGGCCTGGCCCGGTACTGTGCGGGCCCGGGACCGGCCCGGTCGGGCGGTTCGGGACCGGGTATGGGCTCGAACCGGTGGGAAGGGACGGAGCGGGCTCGGTGCTGGAATAATGTGACCCGGCCAGGTCGGGCCCGGGCCCGGGTCCGGTCTTATTTAAAAAAAAAAATTGTTTGGTTGGGCTACTAGCCGTTGGGGGTGGGGCTGGGGACAACCCAAACGGCTATATAGCCGTTGGGTGGGGTAAAGGGGGTGTCCGGGGGGGTGGCTGGTGGGGGGGTGGGGGGTGGGGGGTAAAAAAAACCTATAAATACTCCTAATCTTAAACATTTTTTCATATCTCTTCTCCAATTCTTCCTAAATCCTATTCTTAACTTTCTACTCTCTAATTCTCTTATTCTCCAATATATTATATTTATTATTTATATATCTACTTTATAGTTTATACTTAAGAAGTTAAGATGGAAAATCAAGATGCCATTATACGGTATAATTTTGATAAGCAGAAGGACCCGAAGACCGGGATGTGGTACGCAATTTGCAAATGGTGCGAGAAAAAATGTAGCATGGGGGCTTCAGGCGGATTCGGGATGGCAATCAAGCATAAGAAGTCATGTGACAAAGCCAAAGGATCGGGAGGTGCGGGAAGTTCCGATTGATTACAATTTTCAAAATGTTTATCTCTTAAAGTTTGTTTTAATTTTCAAATGTAGTTCCTATTTCATTTCAAATAAATGCAATTGAAGTTTGTTTTTAATACTCGTATAAAACTATAAACTATAAAATATAAATTATAAAAAAAAATTAACCGGCCCGGCCCGAACCGGACCTGACCCGTGACCCGGGCGGGTGGCCCGGCCCGAACCGGACCCGTCCAACCCTCGGGCCGGTCCCGGGCCCATGTCATACAACCCGGCGGCCCGACCGGGCCTAGGCCTGGCCCGAGTCCATCAATAGCCAAACGTCCACCCAAAAGATCGTAAAAGTTAAAATGGGAACTTAATTGAAGGACGGAGGGGTATATAAGAAATTCTAGGAAAGAGAGAAAGAATAAGAATATAAGATGTCCCTTATTTTTTCCCTTTTGCTGGCCAAGCCCAACTTGATATCGAGAGAAAGGAATGAAATTAAAATTCAAAAGAAAATGAAACATTAAAATGGATGTCTATAGATTGAACAGTACAAGGGATTATGGATGTTTTTACTTGGACTGTAATTCGTCCCAGACCAGATCAGACCAGTTCAGATTAGACCAGACCAGACCAGACTTGGATAGTTATAAATATACAAAGAAACCACACCAGACCAGACCAGCAAATTACAGTCCAAATAAAAACATCCTATGTCAGGGAAAATGGAAATGAAATGAAAAAAAAGGAGAAAAAAGAAGTCATAAAAAATTAGATGGTTTGGCGTTATATAAAATGTCACATGTCATTTGACGAGCACTTTGTCGTAGTGCGTTAAAATAAATTCAATACTAACATTTATACGTAGTATAGCGTAGTAGAGTCCGTATCCACAGGGAAAAGAATAATTCTCTTTTAAATGAAACTAGTAATTAAAGGGAGGTTTTGGGGTTGAATGATTTAATTTAATTAAGCACTAAGATGAATAACTTATATGTGATTTAATTCAAAGATAAAAAGAACGTGATTTTGCTACTTTTCACTTGTTGATATATTTAGTCGATCCTTGTTATATTTATAACTTATTCCTCTCGAATACTCAATCGAGGAGTATCTCCAATTCATCGAGGGTAGTTATTAACATTGACCGTTCATTAATAAGCCTTACTATTAATCAAATATAGAACAACGCCTTATACCGATTTAATAGTAGCATTTAATCTTTCTAATTCCTTGATGAAATCAATTGAGATTGATAACCTCAACACAACGGTTTTGGTTTAACCAACAAAATTAATCTCTCTTAAGTTTATTAACCACGACCGTGCATTAATAAACCAAAGTTACTTACTTGTGAAACCATCAACGATTAACCATCGGTTCGTTGATCGTTTCTAGTAATAATTAATATTGAGATGTTAACTAATTGTCATCTTAGCAACACTCCTCAACATTAATATAGAGATAGATTAAGGGAAGAATTAATATTCAAGGAGAGGAGTTAAGAAAACAACTCACAACTTTAATAATCAACAAGCTTCAAGAGCAAAACCAAGAAAAGGAAGTTTAGCTCCTCATTTGGAGATTAAACATGCTAGAAAAAATATAAAGAAAATACTATTCTAAGTTGAGCTTAAGTATATGGAAGAAGGGATATCAAAATGGGAAGGAAAATAGGTGTATTTATATATGTTTTGGTGAGGTTGGGTTTGATACTCGACCGGGTATAGAGGATACCCGACCGGGTATCTATGGCAGTAGCCACGAAAGTGCTCAAATCTAGTCATACCCGATCGGGTATGTCAATATACCCGACCGGGTATATGACCAAATCTGATTTTCCCACGTTCTCTTGTTTTATTTGATCTTGTAAATCTTCGGGTCAAGTCATACCCGACCGGGTATCAAAACTACCCGACCGGGTATGACACCAAATCACATTTTTTGCATGATTTCTTGCTCCCTTGCACCTTCCTTTGATTTTGTAAGATCCCTTCCATGATCCTTTGTTGATCCTTGATTGATTCTTGCTCATGATGAATCTAAATTTACTAAATTACAATAAACTAGAAAAATAAAATGATTGCACCGTAAATGTGTAATTATCACAACAATACACTGTAAAAATTAATTAAAACTAAAAATATAAACACACAAAAATCAATGCAATCATGATTTGACGTACTAATTTGGTTCAAAAGACCAATTTCTACAAGTAGATGGATGCATGTGAGTATGTCACACTTGTTTAAATACATGGTCTTAAGTAGGGGTGGACTCGGGTCCGGGCCGGGTCCGGGTCGGGCCTCTGGTTTGGATTTTTTTTTTTGCTTTCCTAACCCCCCCCCCCCTCACCCCCCACCCTCCCAAACCCCCCCAAACCCATCCTACCCATCAAGCCCAACCCGGGTGGAACCCCAAAAATGAAAATAAAATTAAAAAAAAAAATCAATTTGACCCGAGCCGGTTCACCAAATTTGAGACCCGAGCCCGGACCCGCCCTACCCCCCGGGCCTAGGCCCGAGCCGGACCCGGACCCGAGAACCGAGCCGGACCCGGACCCGAGAACCGAGCCGGTCCCAGTCCCGCACAGTAGCGGGCCGGGCCGGTCCACGGGCCGGGTGACCCGACCCGAGTCCAACCATAGTCTTAAGTAATGTTCTTGAAAAGACTCATTTGGTCGTTTTATCAATTTTTGACCTCCTTATTACAATATTATTTATGTGATTCTTTGTGTTGTTAGCACGATATGATCCTAACTACGCAAAACTAATTCTGAGATTCAAAAATTCACCAAACCTTTGGGAGAAAAATAAATTTGGATATCTCGAATAATCCATTATCCGATTAACAGATATCTATACACCACCTCACACGAGTAATCACTTGTAACTAATTGGTTACTAGCGTCATGAAGTTCCCAACATACTTACCCTAATAATCGCCATTGATTGATCAAACATCATTATTCATTAAACTCGTAGCAAGAAATTAGTTTTCAAATTGTCACTTGAGATGAGATGAATCACTCAAGCTAATTCTATGGGCCGGAAGATCTACATTTGAGAATTTTCTCCCAAAATTACTTCTTTGATTATTTGAACTCAAGACTTCCCTTAAGGAGGTTTTAAGACTTCCCTTAAGGAGGTTTTAAATGTGAAAAGTGGTCCACTTAGACCACTCCCACACATATTATATTTGTTATTTGAAAAGAAATCATCCATAGTTCAATTTTTAGATGACCACTCAATTACGTCTACACCTCTTTTAAATATCGCTAAGACGCTAACTTGTGTGTTTTTCTAAGAAATAATTACATATGTATTACTAAATAAATATAATTTACAAAAATATAATTAGTGACTAGAATAGTAACTTAGTTGTAGTAACTTATGTTCAATTTTTACACTTATGAGATTATATTGTAGTATTTCCATCATTTGCAATGGAGCTAAAGATTCATTATTTTTTGGCTTGAGATTATGATGGAATAAAGCAAAATGGCTCACTAAACTGTTTGCGCTTCTTTGTAATGAAACAGCAATCAGTCCATGCAATTTTGGACGCGATTTTCACTATGAGTCATCCAGAAACAGTCTCTATGTGCTTTAGTATAGGGGTAAGACTGCGTACATCCGACCCCCCTTACCCCACCGTAGATGGGAGCCTTTGCGGCACTGGGGTAAATGAAAATGATGATGAGATTATATTGTAGTAATTATTAGTCACATTTTTACACATGATATCATTTTTTGTATCACGCCTAGGGATGGACTCGGGTCCGGGTCGGGCCTAGGCCCGGGCGGGCCGGCGGGTCAGAAATGGTGGACCCGGGACCGGCCCGGGTAACCACCGGGTCCGGTCCGGGTCCGGGCCGGGCCGGGCCCATTATTTTTTTTTGTTTTCCTCTTCCTAATTAACCCCCTCCCACCCCAACCCCCCAAACCACCCCAAATGGCCCAAAATACCCAGCCCAACCTGAACATTTAAAAAAAACTGAAAAAAAATCTAGTTTTTGGCCCGAACCGGGCCCGGGCCCGGCCGGGTCGGGCCTTGTTTTGGGTGACCCAAGCCCGGACCGGAAAACCCACGGGCCGGGCCTACCCGGACCGGTCACTGACCGGGCCACCGGGTCGGGCCGGGCCGGAACAGTACCGGTCCCGGGCCGGTTCCGGGTCAGGCCACCCGGCCTGAGTTCATCCCTAATCACGCCTGTCCCAAACAAGGATAAAAGATTATGGTGTTGTGGTAGTCGTGTGACGGGCAACAATATCATTTAGTCATATCACAAGACATGAATCGAATTATAAATTCCCTTTTGATTTCATGTTAGACGACCCCAAAATCTTTTGGACTAAGACTTGAACGTTATTTATGTAAATAAGTTTCATTTGAGTAATATTTTTTCAAAAAAAAATCTTTCTGATTTGCTGTTTGGGTTATGCTTGTATCCAAAATGGAAATGAAACAACTCTCAAGAAACTATTCTCCTATGTTCACTAAAAACTAGAAATGTGTCATTTCCCTCCATCAGAGAAATCAAAAGAAATCAAATATATTGACTTATTCGGCTTTAATTGATTTTACCAAATGCTTTGCTTTTCAACCATTTATTCCTAGCGACTCCCATGTCCCAACTCCCAAGTCCCAAGCCCTAAATTCTAATGGGTTCTCAAATTTGTTAGAATACGGAAGAAAGTATTACACATGTGATAAGCAAGTAGAATTTTACATATTTCGTACTAGTTTTTTTTTTAATTTCTTACTAGTATTAATTATGCATATAATTCAATCAAAAAATCACATGGTTTATTACGCATCCTACATTCCTACGGATTTAAACAAGGATTCCAACCCATTTGGATCTGAAGTTACCGTGCCTAGTGGGAGGTCTCGAGTTTGAAACCCACTAGGCATAGGCATGGACCAGGCCAAGCTTCGGACCGGTTCAATCCGGGCTTTTTTCCAGATGTTGGGCCCGGAACCGGCCCGGGTAGATACCGGGGCAAGCCAAACCGGGCTGGGCCGGTCCAATGTTTTTTTTTTTGCTTTCTAATTAACCCCTGACCTGCCTCCCTCACCCCCACCCCTAGCCCTACACTAGGAAAAGAAAAAAAATGAAAAAAATGAACCGGGCCCGGCCCGGACCACCCGGGCCGGTTCAAGAAAAACAGGACCCAAGCCCGACCCGCCAGGCCCGCCCAACCCGGGATAAAGCCCGGAACTGGCCATCCGGTCCAGGCCTGCACAGTAGCGGGCCAGTCCGGTTCACGGGCCAGTTCAGCCCAGCCCAGTCCCGCCCTAGCTAGGCACATAAGGTTTGAGTTTCAGCATGTGAAAAAATGTGATAATAAATCTTTAAAAATATATATAGTACTGGATTTGCAGTGACATGGAGTACTGGATTTACGTTAACAGTAATTACAAACTCGTGCTGGAGAGCCATTTGTTGAACGTACAAGAGACCATCTTATCCACACATGTCAAAGCCCGACAAGGTTTTTAAAAGGGGGAGGGAAGAAAGGTGTAAGAACATCAAGTACCGGCCTTCCTAACTTCCCATTCTGGCTATTCATCAAACTCATTCATGTGGTCTAGAAGATAGTTCGCTGCCAGCTCCTCATTTTTGTTGCATGCGAAGAAAACTTCCAATACCAAAGCTTGATCGAACCCCATGGCTTCAAGCTGTCCACAAAACCAGATCACCAAAAGTCACTACTAATAAGACATGGAGTATAGAGTAAGAGGTCCATCAATGAAGTGGGTAAACTGCATCTACCATGAAGTTTGGTCAAATACTCGAATTACCAAATGATCAGAGGTTTCTACAAACGCCATCAAAAGGATGATAGGAAGGTTTAAAAAGGCTAGTTCGGGTATTGAGGCAGCTTGGTCAAGAGAGCCTTGAGGTGTATTGAGGCGTAAGCCTCAACATTTACCAACAAGTAAAACTTAAAATAGTTAAACTTAAACTAGTAATAACCAACTGTAGATATGCATAATAAAAGTCCAGAGAGTCTCAATCACAAACACATATATGATCGCATCATAAAAAATCACTCCGTATAAATCAAAATGAGAATTCAAACACAAAACAGACGCATCACGCAGATGATAATTCAGAACTCTTGAAGCTTTATCATCATGACTGGAAGGTTTTTGGAAGAATCGTTATATCTTATAGCCTTATCACCGTCATCCCTTCCATCATCACTATCAAAATCCTTATATTTTTTCTCTTCATCATCATTTACCTCCATTACTTGGTTTTTCCTTGGTTATCCATCTGCTTCTTTGTGCAGAAGTATGAATAGATTTTAACAAGTAGAATGCTTAATATAAAGTACATGTTAGGGTTTAAATGAAACAAGACTTGTTAGGGTTTAGCGAAGACACACGTTTAAGCTACAAGCACATTAAAAAAATGGAAGCAAAGGAAAAACGCCTCAAGGGCGTCTCAGGGCATACGCTTAACTTTTGAGGCAAAAGCCTCTCGTCCTGCAAAGAAAAAACCTGAGCATCAAAACCTTCTTTGTACGCCTCAACTTGAGGCGCGCCTCAAAACCGGCCCTGTAAGCGCCTTATTAACCATGGGTCATATCATATACTACGTATAACTGTAATTCTAATAGAGTGTGCAATGAGATTTTTGATACTAAATTACTGCCAATGCTTGTCCCAAGATTTTCTAGAGAAAAACTGAGCCTATGAAATGCCAACATTGGGGAAAGTAGATAAAAAGATGCTTTCATGTGGACTAATTACAATCTAATATCAGGGCAGAGTCAGCAGACCAAATCAGATTAAACCAGACGAGACTCCCAACCCAAACAAACATTAACAAATACCAGAACCAAACCAAACTAAGTAACACATATTAGCCCCTCAGACCAAATCAGACATGAAAACTGAAAAGATCCATAGTAACCTGCAGGCAAAAAAATAAGTCCAGCTGAAACAGAGAAAAAGGATAGAAGAAAGACTGAGCTTACACGTTCAATTGCCTCCCGTTCTTCAGCAGTGACAGTGACAGCTTCTGACATCGAGTCGGCCAAGATTTCCAATGTGTTCCTAACATATTGTGTTATAGCAGAGAAAAAAGGATTGAGGCATGGGCCCAATATACGAGTTACAGAATTACAACTATCTTCTTAAGAGAGCTAAAAATATATAATAAATAAATACATACATAAATGAATTAATACAGAGTAACGATAAATAAATAAATAAATAAACAGGTAGGTAGGTAGGTAGGTAAGTAAGTAAATAAATAAAGGGAAAAATAATTCAAATACCCCAAACTTTGAAAGGGTGTGAGGTAAACACCTCAAACTTGCATATGTAACATAAATATCCTGAACTTTATATAAAAAGTTATATTAACACAATGACCATATGTTTTTTCTTTCACAAATATCACACATTTAGTATAATTCATGGTGCCACGACAACTTTTTATATAAAGTACGAGGTATATATACTACATATACAAGTTTGGGGTACTTACCTCACACCCTTCAAAGTTTGGGATATTTAAATTATTTTTCTCATAAATAAATTAGTAAAATAAAGAGTTTAAATAAGATTTAACCAATGTTAGGAAACACTGCAGTAATGTGCTCACCCTTCGTCATCTGATTCTTCAACAGGTTCATTGATGAGGCGTAGGAAGTCAGCCTGATGTTCTTGAATAAGCTGAACAAGTTGAGGGTTTTGCTTTCCCAACTCTTGAAGCATCGGCTACATAAAAAAATTCATTTATCCAAAACTTTGATCGACACTTTCCAAAATTAGAGACTTGAAAAATTAATGAAAGATAAGTAGGAAACAAATACCTGCAACGTTTCAGGACTAGCTTGCACTATGGATCTAAGCGTTTGGAACTGTGTTCAGAAGAAAAGAGTAATCAGAACTACTCTTTTTATAACTAAGAATTAAATGAGAGTGGGTTTTAGTGAAGATTTCAAGTAAGTTTATAAATGATGATAACCATTTGATCTTGAATCTAAGGGTTGAGACTTGAGATTAAGTCTACATCTTTGTCTGTGTGTGTACAAACAAACACACTCACACACGCAACAAGCCTAGCCTATATATATTTATATACGAAGCCCAAGCGCTACATATAACAATTTCCAAGAAGAAGTACTATGTTTTACATACCTCTTGACTGTTGCGTAGAAAATCCAAATTACCAGCATTTGGAATAGATGCCATATTTGGAAGGCCCTGATCAGAAACCAATATTCTTTGAATATATAGTAAGTGGGGTTTAATGAGTAATAGCGGTTTTATAATAAAGTAGCTGTCAGCAGAATATAACTACCTGTGGAAAGAGATCTAAAGGACTGGCATTTGGGCCACTGGAAGGTATTGTTTGTTGAGATGCCACATTTAGAGGGTCCATGGTTTGACCGCCAGGAGTAGTGGAAGTTTGTTCTGCATCTTCAACTCCAACTTGTTCAGGTATACCCTGAAGATAATTTCATCACTCAGCTTAAGAAAAGGAAATTTAGAATGCAAAAGAATAGACTGTACCGAAGAGAAAAATTGTGAGCACTTCTGGGAAAATGTTCATGGTAAAAGGAAAAGGAGCTCGGGGGTAAACTATAAAAACATTTGAAACTTCTGCAACAAAAAGAGAGTAAACTCTCAAGCCTGATGCTCTCCATAAACAACTCAGAGATAGAGAATTAGAAAAACATGCATGAAAGGCCTGAATAACTTGTGATACTCTTATATCAACATAATCAGCATTTATACAAGTTAATGCAGGAGTATAAAAAAGAAAAAGGGATGTCAGTTTCCACCATTTCAGTTCTTTTGCTTAATACTTCAATACATATCTTAAACACTAAACTCACCGAATACAAGTAATCAACAGCTCTCTCAGGATTGTTATATGCAGCACGCAAAGCAAGGATGACTGTCTCCCTGTCCCAACTTCCCCCACCCATATCAAGAATTTGTTGAATTGTGGTCTCAAAGTTACTTTCGGCCACAATGTTTGATGCTGCTTGATCATAGACACCTGAGACAGAACTGACAAAAAAAACCAATAAAAAAATCATAGGAAGCCAGGAAAGTTACAGATTAATTTCTGCAAACACATTTATCAAAACAGATGTGGGATAGTTTCTCACACAGCAGAAGCTGGGGCAGGAGAATGAGAAGGGGCAAGTCCAGATGCAGGGTGTGGACTGCACATCACAGTGGCAAAAAAAACATATCAGAAGAATTACAAACTAATCATGACATAGTATGTGATGATTGAGATCTCACGTCACGACAATGGAGGCAGTAGATGGTTGTGCTGTTACTGTCTGTGTTGATTGTCCTGTGGAGGTTGCTATAGGTTCGGCCTAGACAGAAAGAAATCCCAGTCAGCTGAACTATTTGAGCAAGTAATGCAACATTTTAATTAATACAACCAGATCATACACACACATCTTAGATCATTTCAGTCATGTAAGAGGTAATGACAGGAAGTAAATGCAATAAAGAAGAGTAGCTAAATTCTCACCGTAATTAAAGGTGCTGATTGTGTTGATGAAGCCTCACCTGCTGGGGTCTTATTCTACAATAAACGATGAAGGCATGAAGCAAAACTATTTTTATTAACTATAACTACTTAGATATAAATATTTAATGTTAAGGAATAAGAATGAATCTAGTTCCAGAAGTGAAGTGTGCATGCAGAAAAAGTGTTCTAAATTCTAATAGGTCTCTATCAAACAAATGCATGCAATTCACTGCAAACACATTAATTCAAAATTAGACATGCATTTATTCAAATTCTTAGAAATGGTACCTTGCTAAGCATAATAACAACAAAACTATTTTCAGCAACTTTATTTTCTTCCACTGTTGTTGCGTCCTTCAGAACTTTTCCCTGATGGATAAGCATCTGCTGTGCAGCAGGGTAAACGTCTGAACCCTTAACAGTTTCAATGGTTTTCTTCACATTAGAAACCTGAATTGTTCATAACTATATCAGCGACAACATCAAAATAGGATTTCTTAATAGATGCTTGTGTTGTATTGCTGTTAAAAAAGTTCGGAAACTGCAAAGTGACGCTCTTCTTTCAGTAGCTTCTAAACAAGCCAAATACACCAAGCACAAAATCAGTATTTAATATCCTATGTAGGAAAACAAATTTGGAACCACACATGCAAAGTGAAACAGCAAGTCTACAAAAAAGGGTTTAAACGTCCCCAAATTTCAGCACCAGATGATCACACCATTCCACTATTGCACGCTTGCTGCTACTAATTTCCAGCAGTCGATCCATGAAGTTTCAAAAGAGAATATAAGAAATTCAGCTCCTGTCAAGGTCACATTGGCAGTAGTGTGATACAGCAGGTGAGGAGGATCACAAATGTCACATCCTCACTAACTTACATCTCTCCATGTAGCTGAGGGCAATACATGCAATTCATTTGGTGACAACAGCCCGATAACTTGATAGGTTTTCAACATATCTTTCACTTAAACTAAATGCATAATCATTAGATACATACTCCCCATTTGAATAATGTAGATCAATGGAAGAGTTTCCGCATGCGCATTATTACGTTTAAACTCAATTATTAAACAATCGGTCATATCGAAACACTTCATTTAAATCTAGAGCGATCATCACAGCTACGGTTCAGAACCCTAACTTAAGTCTGTCAACGAGAAACATTATACAAACCGATAAGTTTATAGACCAATGAAAGCTAAGATGCAAAAAATTACCGATATATACCCATGAGATTATATAGAGCGACCGAGAGGATGAGTTCTTACGGTGTCGTCAGGTTTAACTTCGATCGTGAATTGAGCCCCTTTCAAAGTCTTCACAAAAATCTTCATAGTTCAGCAGCTCGCTTTGGCGCCGGCGATTCCGAATCTATTGGGAAGCAGACTTTTGGAGCGTAGAAATCGATAGAACTGGTAAAAGGTACTCCCTTCGTCCGGAAGTAATTATGATCCCAGGACAGCCTTACTCAGAGATACATAAGAAATGCTCCCTTTGTGCTGAAAGCGGTTGCCCAAAATTGGAGAAAGCACAATTTCTTCAGCACTGTATCACCGAGATAACTTCGGTCTTTACTAGACCTCACATTTGATATTATACTAGGTCTTATAAGTTTTTTTTTTTTATACTCACTCCGTCCCCAATTGAATTTCAAACTTTGACCGGTATAAAGATTAAGAAATGACTATAAATGATGCTTGTTTTTTACACTTTTTCCATCTTTATAAAAGTAGATGTCTTTAAGTTAATGAGAAAAAAGTAAAAGTAAGGGTAAATTTGTCACTATATTCTTATTTACATACCTAAAATATAAAGTGTAAAACCATTTTGGGACAACCAAAAAAGAAAATTTTACAAATCAAATTGGGACGGAGGGAGTATAAAAATGAACTTAAATAAATCTAGTGTAATAAAGTGAACTTAAATTTATATAACCGCGGATCAATTAGGGTTTCAAGAGCGTCGTCTCTCCCAAACCTCATGGCCGCACCATGTTTTCTTTGACGGCGATTACAACGGCGGTCAATTCTTGTGACGGTATTATCAGCATCTCTTGACGTTTATTTTCTTCTTACATTTTTGTGGTTTGTCCGATCTATTCCGGTTTTGTTTTTCTCCCTCAGCAATGGGGAGTGTTCTGGTCGAGTGTGGTGCACCCGTACAAACATATGGCAATCGGCGAGAACAAAGAAGGATTGATCTTCGACGATGACGATGGAGGCAAAACTGTGGCGAGCGATTGGAAGGCGATCGTTCCGGTGCTAGACATGATAGGTTCTCAGACGAATTTTATGGAGGTTCAGATTCTCTTCTACTATACTAGAGCAGCTCACCCTCCTCCGGAACCACCTCCCTGCGGGAAAGTAATTTGGGGAAAGTTTTTATTTTCGTATTATTATTCTTTTCATAGTGCTTATTTTTATTTCAGTTCAAGCAAGTATGGTTGGAGTATTTTGATTTTTAATGAACTCTTGTTAGGCAGTGTTTCATTTTCGATCGTTTTAGGCTTCCTCATGCTCGTTTTGTGTCTAGCGAATCAGGTTGTTTTGTATGGGTGGCTGATTCTAAGTCTATTCTTAGGGCTTACGATCGGATCTGTAATATCTGTCTCGATTTGGTCTTGTGTATTTGCTCTATTTTAATAGAAAGTCGTTTTGATGATAAAAAAACAAACTTAAATTTAATTCCCTAATTAGGAGTAAAACTCAATAAAAGTATAAAATTAGGAGTTCAAATAATTCGTGTAGTCCGGTAGGAGTAAAAAAGAATGAGTTGACTAAAATATCCATAATTAATACTCCGTTTCATATATTAAAAATAGAAAATAGAACAACAAACTATTGGATGTACACCAATTCCTTCATACACACCCTAACCACAAGCCACAAGTCGCTGTCACTACCCCCAGGACTTACACCAGCTATAGTCGTCGTCAGTCACCGTTGGCCATCTCCGGCCCCGCCAGCCGCCGACCGCCACAATATCCATCATTATCGTTGCCTACGTCGGTGTCGTAACTGTCTGATGTCTCTGCCGCCAATCATTGTTTTTGTTGTCGTCATCAATGCCGCCATCTACATTATCGCCGCCTCATTTGTAGCTACCAGAGCTAGTGTGGTTGTCTCCTTGTTCGTCACTATAACTCTTGTAGCACAACCATCGACTTTGGCTCCACCAATACAGATCTCAAATCTGGAAAAAATGGTTTAAAATGTTACTACCTCCGTCCCGATCGACTTTGCCAAGTGTAAAGTAGGTGAGAAATAAGAATAGTAAAAACTGTGTGGTTGAGATTTGTGCAGAGGAGAGAGAAATGTGGAGAACCACAAATTAATTGCTTTAATAGGAAAGTGGCAAAGTTTTTTGGGACAACCAAAAAAGGAAAGTTGTCAAAATCCAATGGGACGGAGGGAATATATGACCATTGAATTACCATTATTTCAAACAGAGTATAAATCTTAGTGTTATTTTGACATATTGATGGCATTATAGTTGTTGGTTTGGAAAAGAAAAACATTGTCATCGCTATAGAGTTAGTGCCATACAAATGGCATTATGTGCAAAATCAACATTTTTATGTATAAAAGAACATGACATTATTTGTAATGTTTTTGAAGTTAGTGTCATAAAAATGGCACTAAATGTCAAAAAATATTTTCACATAGAAAAATAATATTGACATTGTATTTGCAAAAGAGTAATTTTCATTAAAAGATGACATTATTACTATTGTATTAAAATAATAAAATATGGCACTAGGGATTGAAATAATATTTTCACATGGAAAATATGAAATTTAGTATTTTTTGTAAAGATGTAATAATTTAATTTTAATACCACGAAAAGTACATAAAGTAGTAGCATAAGATTCAAATCAGAAAATTAATGTGAAAAGTTACAAAAAAATTGACGGAAACAGTGCAAAGAAGTATAGTCTTTGTTGATGGTACTGTGGATTACAGTCATGACCCAAGATTTAATTGAAACAAAGCCGATCAACGGAAACAGCCCATTAATTGGGATTAATGATAGATAATAGTTGTTGGGCCTAATTAGGGATACGACCCGCGAAAGGAACCCACAACCAATCCAGGCTGGACAACAGACCTTGAGTCTGGGTGGAGTACTAGCGAGGTCGGACTCTTCCTTGGGCTTATGTGACAGGCTATAATTCGTGCACAGCTATTTGGTAGCGGCAGGACATAACAGAAGAAACATGGACCTAGAGGAACCATGATTGCACAACGTTCGAGACATTACAGGCTCTATTATAATTAATTGCATTAAATGTATCAGTTTCCTCCTAGAATACTAGGACCTAACTACCTAAGGTCTATAAATACTTCCCGTACACGTCCTTTCAAGAATCCGAATTCTGGAATAATAATACTGTCGTACGCTGCCTAAATTTCATCTACTCTCATAGATTAGCTCTCGTAGTTGGATTAAACTCCATCATTTGATGTTCTCGTTGAGAGAACGATTTACGACGACAATGGTTGGATCACACAGTCACAACCGTGTTGGCAGTAATCAAGGTGGTGCTCGAATGGATCAAGTTGTGATCGAAGACGAAGGATCGCGCTCACGGGGGAGCGATTTCCTGAGAAGGAACGACAACATGGCAACCCAAGGCGACTTGAGGAACCACCTGCAAGGTGCTGGGAGTTCCAGGCATCCTACAACACGCCCACCACTGTTCCAGACACCGGCCACTGGGAAACTCATTGCGAGTGTGGATCCGCCGCAAGCCTTGACGAGCTTGGCGATGTTCCAGAGGGCTGTGGAGACCTTGACCACTACCTTCCAAAGAATTGTTCCCAACACGAACGAAAGGCCTCCTTCCCTACACCGGGTTCCATCTGTGACCTAACGGGAGGAGGAGATATTCGTGCAACGTTAGAGGAAATCACCTCCGGCTAGGTCTAAGCGGTCCCATCATTCCAGACAGACCCCGATGGCTTCGGTGATGGACCGGGTTGGAGGACGGAGGGTCTCTGTGCATGATACGCTCTCCTTCATGGTGAAACGAAATGATGAAGCATTGTCCGCAGTCGTTTCCTCCTACCGTCGCAGTGCGGCTGGGGAGATCTCAGAGACGAGATCAACGAACATCGGTGAGCTCGCGGAGATCGCACTTCCCCACCTCGTGTCCAAGCCATCCAGGATAACGACGACCTCAGAAGGCGACTTGACGAGCTCAGGGGGCGGTGGATGGCAGGATTAACCTCAATCATGATGTGAGGATTCCCGAGTCATTCACCTGTCAGGTCATGGATAGCCCGCTGCCACAGGGGTATAAGCCTTGCAATATTGAGGCCTACCGGGGAAAGACCGAACCCCAACACCACGTCTCCAGGTACATGGCCTATATGGTGATGATGGGGTACAATGATGCAATCAGGTGCAGAGAATTTTCAGTGACATTGGCCTATATGGCCTCACTGTATCGGAAGACCTGGACAGCAACAAGACTATTCTCTTCCGTCTTCTTCTTCAGCTCCTCCTCCTTAGATCTCCATGCCTCCTCAATAGCCCTATGGGCGACAACAGCATCGTCCAGCTTCTTCTGTAGCTCCCCAGCCTCCCTCACCACAGCGTCTCTAACGGCCTCCAGGTTGGCCACAACCTTCTTGGTATGGTCTGTCTGGCCCTAGACCTCTTGCTGCCAGGGTTGGATCCGAAAACCCGAAAACTGAATCAAACTAAACCGAACCGCAAGCAAACAAAACCGAACCACTAAAAACCCGAAACCGAATGTAAAAAACCGAACCAAACCGTAGTTGTTTGGTTTGGTTTTGTTTGCTTGCGGCCTCACCGCAAACTCAAGGTCCATATCCAAGACAAAATCTCGTTCAAGGCAATGAAACAAGGACGAGGTCTACAAGCACCTCATCTTACGACGCATTGTCATAGGCTACAAACTACTCAATAGTTGGTCAACGAATGACACACATCACTCTCTACAACACAACAAGGCTCTAGCTCATATATTAGTTTACACATATACATGCATTTAATGCGTTCAACATTGATTACTAGTATAAATACCCCACTGAGACAGATATAAATAGTTCTAAATTCATTAATATTAAATTACTTTATCTTTTTAATTCATAGCTCTCCATTCTTTCTATAATCTAGTGTAACTAAAATTTGATAGGTATAAATTAGACTTATAAATATCATACTCAAAAAACTTCATCAAAAAAATCCACCTGGAATAGACGGGCTCGGCCGGATGGCTGCCCCTATCCTGTCCTTATATAATACCGACTATACGGGTACATATTTTATTGCTCCGTATATATTTTTAACCCGCTAATTTTTCTTATTCTCGTCCGGGTTTTAACAACCCAGGACTTCGTATGTCCCAAATAGGGTTGTAAACGAACCGAATCGAGTCGAATAATGAGATTTTGTATTTGTATTTGTTTATTTTTTTCGAATACGAATTCGAATTCAAGTATGAAATGAATATTAATTTCGATTTGTATCTGTATTTGTTTAAAAATACGAATAGTTAACGAATAATATACGAAT